CTGGGAGTTCTGTCTTTGCGGTTCGGTGCCTCATTGGGCTGTCCTGGAAGTGTCTTGGGGCGACTATGGGGCCTCTTGGGCAGTGTGGGCGCCCTCTTGGGGGCCTCTGGAACAATCTTTGGGGGAGTTGTGGTGCTTCTGGGGCTGATTTGGAGAGTCGGCGAGCCGAAAAGGCGGAAGCCCGAAAACCTTCACACTCCGACAGACAACTAATGAATTTTGCCTCGTGGGGCCCTTTTGGGGGGCCGTCGGGAATCGTCTGGAAGCGTCCTGGGGGCGTTGTGGGCCGTCTGAAAAGCATCAAGGAGCTCCTTGGTGGCGGTATGTGCCAAGTAGGGGCCGTCGTCAGCGTCTGGGAGTGAGTTGCTGGCGATTCGGGACCTTCTTCGGCTGTCCTGGAGGTCTCTTGGGCAGTCTTTGGTGCGTCGCGGGCAGTCTCGGCGTCCTCTTGGGGGCCTCTTCTTCGGTCTTGAGGTGAGCTTTTGTGCTAGTTGGGCTGTCCTGCGTCGGCACGGCGCAAAGAAACATAAACACGATAAACCATCAATGACCGATGAACAACCAGCGTTTTTGGATCTTGGGCCCTCATCGGGGGTGCCTTGGAACCCTCTTGGAGCGTTTTGGGGGCGCTGTTGGCTGCCTGGAAGCTTTCGTGGAGCGCCTTGGGATCGTTGTGGGCCATCTCGAAGGCGTGCTGAGCTTCTGGGCGTGATTTCTTGGCGATTCGCGGCCTTTGCGGGCTGTCCTGGAAATCTCTTGGGGCGTCTGTGGGGACTCTTGGGCAGTGTGGCGCCCTCTTGGGGGCCTCTGAAACACTCTTTGGGCGAGTTTGGGCGCTTCTAGGGCTGATTTGGAGCGTCGGCGAGCCGAAGGCGGAAGCTCCAATAACCATCAAAACATATGGACAACGAGTGAATTTTGCCTCTTGGGGCCCTCCTGGGGGGCGTCTGGGAACCCTCTTGGAGCGTCCAGGGAGCATTTTGGGCCGTCTGGAAGCCTTCGTAGAGCGCCTTGGGAGCTTAGTATGCCATTTGGAGGCGATCGTGGGCGTTTAGAAGAAACTTTCCGGCGGCCCGGGGGCGAGGCGGCACTCTTTGGACCAGTCTTGGGTACCTCTGGGGACCCCGGATCCTCCCATGCGCTGTCGTGTCCCCAGGCCTCGTAGACGGATCTAGATCTCCATCCAACTACACACATGTACATGTCTGTCTGTCTGTCTGTCTGTATGTCTGTCTGTCTGTCTGTCTGTCTGTCTGTCTGTCTGTATGTATGTATGTATGTATGTAGGTATGTATGTACACATGCATGTATGCATCTATGCATGTATGTATACATTTATACAGATATGTATGTATATATGCGTGTAGGTATGTATGTATGTAGCTATGTATGTATATATGTATATATGTATGTATGTATGTATGTATGCATGCATGCATGTATGTATGTATGTATGTATATATGTATGTATGTGTGTATGTATGCATATATAGGTATGTATATGTATGTCTATATGCATGCATGTATGTATGTATGTATGTATACATGCATGCATTTATGTACATGCGTATGTATATACATGTATACATGCACGCATGCATGCAAACATGTATGTCTACATGCATGCATGTACGGGTGTATGTGTTTCCATGTCTGCATGCACTTATGTATGCATGTATGTGCGTATATTCATGTGTGTATGCATGTGTGTTTGCATATGTATGTATGTATGTATGTCTGCCTGCCTGTCTGTCTGTCTGTCTGTCTGTCTGTAGGTGTGTATGTATATAGGTATGTAGGTCTGTATGTATGAATGTATGTATGTATGCGTGTATGTATGTACGTATGCATGTATGTATTTATGTATGTATATCTATACGTGTATACTTATATGTGTACGCGCATCTATATATACACATAGTTTAGCCGCCCATATACATAAACATATATATATATATAGATGCATGTCCATCCAGCGCTGTCTACATACACATAAAGCACATGCATCTGCGCACGTACATCTGTGTACCTATACATCTGTATGCGCAGACATCTACTCACTGACACACACATACATATTTATGTATGCATGTATGCATTACACATTATTACGCACTCTCCCTCTCCCCCTCTATCACGATATCTTCGCTGTCCGTCGCTTATGCTCTCTTATGTTATCTGTTCCCTGCTTTCCCATTTTCCCTCCTCCCCTTCGTCCCTCTATTCCCCATCTTCCGCGCCCTCTCTTTCCCATCCTCTCAAATCCCTATCTCTTCCCTCTCCTGTCCGCGCGAGCCGCATCATTGGAGGCCGCCAAGAGGGTGAGGAGGAAGAGGAGGAAGAGTGGGAGGAATGAAGAGGAGGCGGAGGAGTTGGAGGGGGAGGAAGAGGAGGAGGAGGAGGAGAAGGAGGAGAAACAGGGGGAGGAACGAGGAGGAGGAGGAGAAGAGGAGGAGAAGAGGAGGAGGAGAAGAGGAGGAGGCCTCGTGGCGCCACTCGCCTCTGCCCGAGCTTGGGCCCCTCCCGGGCCAGCTTCAACACGAAGCCGGCTCGGGGAGGAACCAGGACGGAGCTGTTCTGGGCCGCCCCCTGATGGCCGACGGGCCCGCCGTGGCCGCGGTCGGAGCTGGAGGAGGAGGAGGAGGAGGAGGAGGTGGGCGAGCGTCTCTCCGCCTCTCTGTCGCCCTCTCCGCCAGGAGGGACCCCGGCCTCCGGCCCGCCCCCCCCGCCGCCCCTGCCCGAAGCGGCGCCTGGAGGTCGAAGATCTCGCCCGCCCGCCTGATCTGGGCCTTCGCGGCGCCCCCCGGCCCCCTCGACGAGCACGGAATGCTCTGCCGATGATTTGGAGAGGAGCAGCCGCAAGACGCCGAACGGATCCACGATCATGATTGCCTGTGCGCTCTCTTGCCCGCCTGAGGCCAACCATCGAACACCTGCGCCTCCTGTCTGGCCAGTGTGGCACCTCCCTGGGGAGGAGCTGGGTGGGGTGGGGCAAGAGAGCCCAGAATCGAATCGACGAGTCGGATCGGCGATCGAGATGCATCGGATCGGCAGACATCGGCAGCCACGTCGGAAGAAGTCGAGCCGTCGGAAATCGGCAGGCTAGCAGAGCCCAAATCGGAATCCCAAGTCGAATCGAGTCGGAACCGCACGCCATCGAAGTCGAGGTCGAGTCGAATCGGAGAAATCGGAACGAGCCCTGACTGGGGGTTGGTGGGCTGCACTCTCAGGTCTAGGTGCCGCCACCAAACATCGCGACGGCCGGTTGTTGTAGACTTCCTTGGGCCTCCGGAGGCCCTTCCCCGGCCCCCGGGGGCGTCAAAGAACGACTCGGGATGACCACCGGTCGTCCCCGGGAGCGGGTCGGGATTCCCGAGGGGGGCGCGTTGCAACGAGAATGCGTCGTCGGAGGATCTCCGCTGCGCGCCTTGAGGCCGCCTTCTCCGTCGCCTCCTCCGGGGGGGGGGCTTGCGTCCCTCCGAAGGCTCCGAAAGATCATCCTCGGTCTCCTCCTCCTCCTCCTCTTCCTCCTCCCGGGGGGGGGTGCGTCCCTGCCTCGCAGCGCATCTGCTCCTTGCGCAGCCCCCTGCTCGATGCGTTCAGTGCCGAGCCTCGCTTGCTGGCATCCTCGGGGGGTGGTGGTGGTGAGGGGGTGGGTGGTGAAGAGGGCGAGATGGGGGATGCCGAAGAGGAGGGCGCGGAAGGTGGTTGGTGACGGTGATGATGGTAGCTTTAGGTCGGGCATGTCCTCGTACAGGCGGATTTTGGACGACAAATGAATCAGAGTCCAAACATATCAAAAAATACTCAGGCAATCGTCCCCAGACTATTTTTGGACTATTTTCGAATATTCTTCCTGTAGAGGGACGTGCCCGACTTAATGGTAGTTGTTGATTGATGATCGCGCTGCTTCGTCAGGTGTCGACAGCTAGAGTTACGACCAGGCCGAGGAGAAGCATGAGGAGCAGGAGGGCAATGCAGATTACTGGGAGGGGGATAGCTTCAGTGAGGAGGAGCAGGAACAGGAGAAGGAGCAGCAGGAAGAGGACAGAACAGGTGACGAGGAGGATGAGGGTATGTACGACCAAGACGAGGATCGCTCAAGGCGACTCTCAGTCTCGGCGCCCTTCGCAAAGGACAAGAGTCATGTGACAGAGAAAAAGGTGGTGGAGCCCAATGACAGCGCTTCTGGCAGAGCGCCTCACCCTCAACGCGAATGCCCCCGCGCGTTCGTGCGCGCATCCAGCCGCGATTTTGCGGAGCCGGGGGGGCGGTCCTCTAAGAAGGCGGGGGGGGCTTCTGCGGTCATCGTGCTGCCAGAGGGAACGCCGAACAAGCAACGCAGGTGCTTTTCTGTCCACGGCGACCCTCGGCCACAAATAAGTTCCCCGACCTGAATCTAAGGAGCGCCCCGAAACTGGAGCCTGAGGAGGTCCTGATTTCAGCGCCTTGACTGTAAGGAGAGCAGGTGGCTTCTCAGAAGCACTTGGGCGCCTCCAATAACGCCCCTGCCTTCTGAGAAGCCCCCCGCCTTCTCAGACGCCCGCTCCCCTCCCGTCACTTCCTCGTGCGTGCCACCAAATTCTGGCGTCGTTTTCTTGCCATCGTCGTCTATTCTTGCGCTCCTCTCGCTATCTCTCTCTCGCTCGCTCGCTCGCTCCCGTGTGTGTGTGTGTGTGTCTGTGTCTGTGTCTGTGTCTGTGTCTGTGTCTGTGTCTGTGTCTGTGTCTGTGTCTCTCTGTGTGTGTGTGTGTGTGCGTGCGTGCGTGCGTGCGTGTGTGCGTGCGTGCGTGCGTGCGTGCGTGCGTGCGTACGTGCGTCGTGCGTGCGTGCGTGCGTGCGTGCGTGCGTGCGTGCGTGCGTGCGTGCGTGTGTGTGTGTGTGTGTGTGTGTGTGTGTGTGTGTGTGTGTGTGTGTGTGTGTGTGTGTGTGTGTGTGTGTGTGTCTCTCTCTCTCTCTCTTTCTTTCTCTAACTCTCATGCTTAGTCTATCCCAATGGAATGATCTCGTCCACTGTGGTTGTTGTGACCTCGTTGGGAGTTCGGGCACAGAAACGGAAAAGTGGCAAGAAAGGGGGCGCGCTGGTGCGCGTCCCCGAGCTCGGAGGAGGCCCAATTGAGACAACGTCGGCTCTCAGGGCCAGCCCAAATCTGCTCAGAATCGGTCCCTGGACCCTTCGCGGGGTCCATCCCGACCCGTTTTTCGAGGCGAGTTCAGCCGTGGCGAAGAAAAGACTCCAGGAGGCCTATGAAAGACATAAAAACGCCAGGGACCAGAGGGACACCGTTCGGGGGCACCTGCTCAAGGGGGGGGGAACATCGAGCTTGAATCAGCGACGCATCACCGATTGATCGGCGACAGGCCCCCGATAGCGAAACCGCACGTTCCTGGGCCAGACCCCTCTCTGCAAAACATGGGCGATCGATGCGCCCCCCCCCCCCCCCGAGTCTGCCCCCCGCAACGTTGCCCTTGTGGCAGGTGCACGGTTGTCTCGACTGGCCCCCCTTCGGCGAGCGATGCTGGGCGGACGGCCCCGCGCTGATTTCGCGCAGGGCCCACCGCGCCGGCGCCAGGCAAGCAGTCAGTGCCAAGGGGGGCAGTGCACCAAAGGCACTTGCCAACTCCTCCAGGGAAGGCTTCCCCAGTCCTCCAGGGCTTCCAAGGACGCCTCAAGCCGATTTCGGATTTCACATTTCGAAGGGGAGGAAAAGAAACCGAGGAGGATGATGAGGAGGATGAACAGGAAGAAGAGGAGGAGGAGGAGGAGGAGGAGGAGGAGAAGGAGGAGGAGCAGGAGGAGCAGTAAAATGAGGAGGAGGAGGAGGAGGAGGAGGGAGGAGGAGGAGGAGGAGGAGGAGGAGGAGGAGGAGGAGGAGGAGGAGGAGGAGGAGGAGGAGGGAGGAGGAGTGGGGGGGGTAGGAGGAGTGGGAGGAGGAGGAGGAGGAGGAGGAGGAGGAGGATGAGGATGAGGAGGAGAAGGAGGAGGAGAAGGATGAGCAGGAGGCGGAAGAGGAGGAGGGGCTGACACCTCCTCCCGGAAACGGGCCCCCCAAGACTCCCGAAAGCGTCCCAAACCGATCCCCGATTTCCACGGGGAGGAGAGGTCGCCAACTTCTCCAGGAAACCGGCCTCCCGCGGACCCTCCAGGACTCCCAAGGACACCCAAGACCGAACCGATCCCCGATTCCCAACGGGGAAGGGGGGACCGCCGGCTCCTCCAGGAGACCGGCCCCCTGAACATCACAGGGCTCCTCGAAGACGCGCCCCGAAGCGCCCAGAACCCCCCTCGATGAGCGATCTTCCCTCCTCCTCGGTCCTCGACTTCCAGGAGGAGGAGGAGGAGGAGGAGGAGGAGGAGGAGGAGGAGGAGGAGGAGGACGCGGACGGGGACGGGGACGGGGACGGGGAGGAGGAGGAGGAGGAGGAGGAGGAGGAGGAGGAGGAGGAGGAGGAGGAGGAGGAGGAGGAGGAGGAGGAGGAGGAGGAGCAGGAGCAGGAGGAGGAGGAGGAGGAGGAGCAGGAGGAGGAGGAGGAGGAGGAGGAGGAGGAGGAGGAGGAGCGAGCGAACTGGGAGGAACCCTCTTCTTCCACAGCGAAGGCGGGCCGCGTTCATCAGACGCGCGGGCCGCCTCACTCAGTTGCTCGAGATCGACGACGTGCGCCGGGTCGATGCCGTAGGCCTCATCGAAGGTGTCGTGCGCCTCTTGAGGAACGTCAGGCTGGAACTCGTTGGCTGCGCGGTCCGTTAGGACGCAAATGGCGTCGCCGACAAGGAGTGTGGAAAGTAACCGCTCAGGAGCTTGACGAGGTATTTGTGCAGGCAGGTGTCCTTGAAGTGTCATCCTGCTGTTGCTGGAAGGCACGCTTCCATATTCGATGTCGTGCTGTAGGGTGTCGAGGAAGTCAACCCTGTCGTCGGGGCCGCAATCAGGAAAGACAGGGCGAGGCCCGCAAGACCAAACACATACCCAGACCACGACGCTCCTCAACAATTGAAAGATGTAAAGCAGCTTCCACGCGGCCGGGTAGATGAACTTGCGGAGGCATGCGGCTCTCGGTCGCCATGTTCGCTGCTTGCGGTGCGGGGTGGCTGTCGTTGGGGAGCTGTGGCAGGGGGCGCGCAGTCTGAATCTCCTGCCGCCGCCATGGGCGCTTCCTCGCTATGTGATCTGCCACGCCGCACATGCGCCGCCGAGGCTTGAATCTGATGCGGGGCCTCCATCCCCCGAGTTTGTTATATTGGGCGCGAAGGTGGGCTCGTCGCTGCTCCAGCCCATGATCGGTAGTGCCTTGAGCTCGTTGATCAACGTCTCGCGCGAGTCCTTACAGCGCTCCCACATGTCCTCGCGCAAATCCTGGGCGAGCAGGCGCGGCAGGTCACCGCGCTCCTCGCCCGCGGTAAGATCGAAGAAGTGGTCGAAGAAGGGTTGCCGCAGCTGCGCGCGCGCGAAGGGGGTGCACAAACCAACCAATGCTGCTGGTCGTTGAGATATTCGTCTTGGTGGTGCAAGTTTGGGATCCGCTGCGCAGAGATCTTGAAGGTGACCGCCTGCAGGGTCTCGCAGTCGTCGCGCGTGTATGCTCGGATGTGCTCGCATCAGCTTCCACTGACAAGAACGGCAGGCCAACGTCGCCAGAGACAACTTCTCGGAACTCATGAGCGAAATAAGCTGACGTGAGCTTCGCAGCAGCGGCGTGGGCTGCATTCTCTGAAGCCACCCCGCCTGGGAGGGACCTGCCCTCCGACTGGCAGCGCAAGCGAGCCCGACCGCGCGCTGGTGGCGCCCGATGCTGGTCGTGGGCAAGCTGCTGCTGTTAGAGCCCGACACGCCAACAATCAAAGCATGCGGATCTTGCGTGTCTTCTATCAAGATTGTCTCGATTACTTCAAGTATCGGCCAGCGATCGGGACCGCCGCGCCTCGCGGGGCGAGCGGCTGGTAGCGTAATCTTGGTCGGGCTGGGCGCACTTAGCGGATGAATGTCGAAGCGGCGGGGGCAAAGGCATTCAAGTGTCGAGCTGCAGCTCTGTCCCAGCTCTCATCCATCGGCGCCCCCAGGACAGCGGTGTTCCTGCTGCGTGTCTGCGCAGTCCATGTCCAGACAGATTCGCATATGTCCCACGCCCGAAGCCACATCGAATCTGAACCGACACTGGTGGCGGTGGGGCATGCGCGAACGGCAGGATGAGGCGGGGCCGTTTCAAGATAACCGCCGTGAGCGGGACGCACCAGTCGATCCAATCGTCGATGTCCTGCCGGGCTCCTCTCCTTCTGTCATAATCCTCAACGTGCCCCCTCCAGATGTTCAGCAACCCGCCATGCGCGTTGAGTCCAAGGTCGAGAATGAATGGCTTGCCCATGCATCGCCGCACAAGCGGCATCTTCGCTGTCGCCTCCGAACGCTTCTCCGTGCCCGACTCGCTCCGCAGGTCCAGTGCATGAGTGCCGCATCACTGCCATCCAATATCGCGCTCGAGACCGGCTCGCCGTCTCATCGCCCGCGACGTCAATGGCAGCTTCAACGGGCAGATCACCAATCGAGGGCGGCACTGGAGGAGAGCTTGCAATCTCGGAAGGCTGGCTGTCAGATGGAGGGGCAGAAGGTGGGGGCTGCCCCAGCCCGACCGTCTTTGGAAAGCCAGGACCATAACTTTTCACGTGCTTCCGCAATGACGTCCCCGTCCGCAGGGGGTGAGCCCAGCGCCGAGTCGCCGCGAAAGGGCTCATCGGTGACGTGCTGATGCTGCAGCAGAAGGTTGATGGTGGTGCTCTGTCTCGTGTGCGCAGCATTGCCACTGAGATCGTCCTCGTCCTGCGCGCGGTCGATGACGGCGTCCGCTGGCAAGGTACTGCTGCTCTCGCCATGTGATGACTGCTGGGCGAGCTCCGCGTGCGGTGGAGCTGCTGCTGGCGTCGCTCGCCTCCTATCTGCTGTAGGTCGTCCGGCTGGCACCTGGCGATGTCGGCGGCAAGAGAAGGGTCTTCCTCCGACGGCGCGTCGTAGCCCGCGCAGGAGTACCGCCGCATGCTCGGCGGCATGCGTGCAGGGTCAGCATGCCAACGTGTAGCCCCGAGGTTCTCACTTGCAAAGGCAGAAGCCAGGTTCCTCCTGTTTGACTTTTTGCCAGGCAAGGCTCTGTCACGGTGCGATCGAACGCATGTTCGTGCCTCCGCTGGGAGGCGCCGCGCCCCATCGCATATCCCCCGCGCCAGCGGATTGCAAATGTGGGGGCCAGGTCGCGCGGTGGAGCCGAAGAGGCCCTCGCATATATGAGGCCTCAACACTCCATCGACATATCGCGTGCACCATCTCCCACAATCCAACGCGTCAAACCCAGGTGGGCCAACGGAGAAGACCGTGGGCCGTGGGAAGCCAACGACGAAGCCAAGCACGCGCCCCAGTGGGGTAGCGTGTCCCTTGCAACGCTTGCCTGAGTATGCCACTGAAACAAGTCGTCGTGACTGTCGGCAGCACCAGTGATAGGGCTTCCCGAAGGGGTGGCCGCCGTTGTCACCGCGCTAGTCTGGGCCTAAACATGCGCGTCACCAGCGAGAGCTGCTTCTGCGCCTTCCTCTTGGGCCCCGTTCGACAGGCCACCATCTGCCTGGAGGTCAGAAAGGAGTGTGGCGGTAGCGGGAAGCGCCTCATGGCGTGGGCAGGTGTCGCTGAGCTCCGCGGCTGTCACACCATCAGAACCACCTAACTGCGGCACGCTGTCGTCATGGCACAACACTACCCCCCCTGGAGTCGATGTAATCGCAGGGCCCAGGATGCCTGGCGCCAGGAACTGGCCAACGCACAACGTCGCGAGACTCGGCGGCGGGCTGGTCAAGGAAGTTCACGGGCGTGGGAAGGTTCCCTGCGCTAGAAGATTGGTCAGCCCTAGGACCAGGAACAGCGTGATCTCCAACTGCAGTGGGACCAGTCTATGCTTGTGGGCCACTGTGTCCAAAGATGTGATCGTACTCTTCGTCGTCCGTGACCTCGTCCTCGAATGGTGCACGAGCTTCTGCCCCCGCGTGTCCCTCGCTGGCCATCAGCGCGACGTCGGTGGTAGCGGGGCGCAGGCACCCATCCCCATCCGCGCCGAGGTTCTCGTGCGCCGCGGGGTAGCTGCCGATCGAGTGCTCGGGGGCCCCCTCCATGCCCAGCAGGCCCCATGTCGTCGAAAAGCACGTCCCCCTCAGGAATATGACCGTGCCGGCGAGGAGGGAGATGTTCATCGAGAATTAGACCTGGTTGCTGAAGCGGCGGTCTCTCCGCCATGGCGTCTCGTCTCTTGCGCGACGGGCAGGGGGGCCCGCCCACTCTGGCGCGCGGCGCACATGTTCGCGGGCGCGAATCCGCGTCGCTGCGCGCCGCCCCTCGTCTCCATTTTGCCCGAGGATCAATGGCATGTTGCCGAATGCGTCCTCTCGAAATGGCCGGGGGCGCCCGCCGGCCAGCGCGGCTCTTCCGCCGTGGACATCTGCGGCGCGGGCCAGAGAGCCCGACCTACCAAGGGCCAGGGGCAATGTCAAGGCATGTTTCGAAGCCTTCGCGTCGCGGCGAATCCGTGACATGCGGCGCGCGCCAAGGCGTCCAGCTGTCGCAG